TTTGACTGGGCCATAGGCCCAGCCATTTGGTCAAACATCGTGTTGCGTGTACCCAGGAGGGTGTTTCTGCATAAGATTAACAATTGGATTGGTAGACTGAGTAGAGCAGATTGCCTTCCCAAAGTGGGTGGGCCTCGTCAAATCAGTTGAAGGTCTAAATAGAACAAAAAGGCAAAACCTTCCTTCAGTTAATAGGAACTCTTCTAGGGCACCTGGGTGGCCCGGTCGTTTAGTGTCTGCCTTCGGCTCGGGTCATGATCCCAGCATCCTGGGATCAAGCCCCGCATTGGGTTCCCTGCTCCGCGGGAAGCCTGCTTTCTCCCTCTCCCACTCCACCTGCTTGTGTTCCTTCTCTCACTGTGTCTCTCTCTCTGTCAAATAAATAAATAAAATCTTTAAAAAAAAAATAGGGACTCTTCTTGCCTGGCTGCATTTGAGTTGGGCCACTGTTCTTCCTTCAGATTTAAACTGTAATATCAGCTGTTCTTAGGCCTCGCGCCTGCCGGCCTTCAGACTGGAGCTACACCATCAGCTCCTCTGGGTCTCCAGCTTGCTGACTGTAGATCCTGTGACTGTCAGCCTCCATAATCACATCAGCCAATTCCTTGTAAAATCTCTATTGGTTCTGTTTCTCTGAAGGACTCTGATACAGAAGGATATTACAATAAGACATTACTAATTATGAACAATTCAGTTGTTCACTACTGAGTCCAGGAAGAATGAAGAAGGCCTTGAAGGAAGCAACTAAGAGAGAGAGGCCCAGAGCCTAAGGCACTTCTTTGTAAGTCTACGAGACAGGTGGCTTGAGGGTACTGTGTTCTTCCTGGGGAATCACACACCAAAGGAAGGGAGAAGAGCCCAAAGGGAGATGAAAGAAGCCTGAAAATTGGCTTTGCCTACTTGATCATGTTGCCTGGTGTTTTTCCTACTCCTATTAATGCCTATTTTTCTTGAGTATTTTATCTAGAGGACACTGGCAGTATTTGATGGTTATATAATCATAAATTTACAGTACTAATCCCAACATTTCATCCTTTTCAAAAGCCCATGCACGTTTTGGAATACAAAGAGTAACATGCAGCTTAGTGAAGTAAAAGTAGAATAGGATGGGAGCAGCACAGAAAGAGTGAGCAAGTTTATTCAAAGACGGAGAGAGAGAGGGGCACCTGGGTGGCTCAGTCTGTTAAGCGTCTGCCTTTGGCTCAGGTCATGATCTCAGGGTCTTGGGATGGAGCCCTGCGTTGGGCTCCCTGCTTGGCAGGGAGTCTGCCTCTCCCTCTTTCCCTCCTCCTGCTTGTGTTCTCTCTCTCTCAAATAAGTAAAATCTTAAAATAAAAAGGGAGAGAGAGAGGAAAAAAACAAAGACGTGTAAAGACCTCAAAAAAGATGTCAGGAGCTAGTGAGAACAAATAGCTGAAACAAAAGAGTATGTCTTTATATATTGGTAAGGTTTGCAAGAAAGCACATTCAACTTCTGGTATTTAAAAATGAAAATATTCTGGGGCACGAGGTTGGCTCAGAAGGTAGAACATGTGTCTCTTGATCTTAAGGTCATGGGGTTCAAGCCCCAAGTTGGGTGTAGAGGTTACTAAAAAAATAAACTTAAAAAAAGTAAATATTTCTTTAAGCTATAAAATAATTCAAGTTCATGATAAATCTAATTGTATACCTTCTACACACAGACTACTGCAGCAGATCAGAGGTGATACTGGCCTCACAATGAAGAAACTTTTAAAAACACACATACCCGGGCGCCTGGGTGGCTCAGTTGGTTAAGCGACTGCCTTCGGCTCAGGTCATGATCCTGGAGTCCCGGGATCGAGTCCCGCATCGGGCTCCCCGCTCAGCGGGGAGTCTGCTTCTCCCTCCAACCCTCCCCCCTCTCATGCTCTCTCTCTCATTCTCTCTCTCAAATAAATAAATAAATAAAATCTTAAAAAAAAAAAGAAAATGCTAAAGTTCTGTGTATATTTAAAAAAAAAAAACACACATACCGCATGATCACAATAATAAACTAAAGACTAAATTGTGTTAATAACAGATTCCTCTTTTAAAATGTAAACTTCATCTAAGATGTAGCCTTTTGGACGATACTGGCTTATTTTAGGTCTCCTGACATAAGGACGGATCTTCTGTTGCCAGCACTCAGTAGCACACAACGATATGTTGGCTGTGTGGATGAGTGCAGTTATGAGTTTGCCCCAAGTATAAGGGCATCCTCTTGGGCATATAAGCAACAAAATAGTGCAGGATAAAGCAAGAGGGAGGGATCCAACATAGTCACGAGACAGCGGGAGAATCTGAGGACAGGAAGGAGAGGAGCACACTGAGGAGGAGACTGGATCGTTGGCACATTCCTAGACCCCCTGTAAGCAAGGGCGTCAGAGATAAGAAGTCCTCGTACACAAGGCTCTTGCTTTTGGTCATGGCCACCAGTGATCGCCTGACTCAAAGGCAATCTCCTGGGCTGGCCTGTGAGGTGTCCTGTTATCCAAGTGGCAAATGAATCGAGTTGGATCTTCCGTCAGGCACAGAGAGGGGTTGCTTGCGCCCAGGCGCCCAGGAAGAATGTCTGTGGAGAGCTGAGGAAGCTGGGCTATCTAAAAGCTGTCTCTGGTCTTTGGAGGGCCACTTGTGGGACTGAAGAGATTGCTCCCTGTGTGTCCTTGCTGTAACAAAACCCTAGCATCTGAGCTAATCTGAATGCATATGTGATCTGAAAGAACCTGGTTTGGGGTGGGTATGTGAGTGTGCCTGCACACTTGTGTGAGCAAGTGTGTGTATGTGCGCACACACACACAGACACACACACAGCAACAGCAGCAGCATGCATTTGCAGAGGGGCAGGGAAAGCAGACTTAAGAAAAGGATGAGCATTATGCAGAGGTGGCCTGAGGTGGAGGGAGAAGGAATGGAAATGTGAAGAGAAAAAACAGCAAAGATACATTTCCTTTGCTTTTCACTGGGCCTGGGGCACACAGCTGCACCCATGTTCCTCTGGGAGTCACGATGCCACTCTCGCAACGTGCAGGACTTCTTCATTTCTGAAGAATCCAGAAATAAGAGAGAGGAAGCACTCTAAAGGATGAGAACATGAATCCTGGTAACTTGAACATAGTAACGGGGTCTGGTGTTACTTTCGAGAAGTCAGGCTCAAGAGTCTTAGTAATGAGATGTGCTGGAAGCTTAGTAATGTGGCCAAGTGAGACAGGAATTTCTGGAAACAGCACTGGTTTTTCGTATTACAGGAGCATCCACTTAGAACCAAGGCTCGCTTTTTCTTGATTAGAAAAGTAATGCATGCTCACTGTTGACCGTTTAGAAAATAAAGAACGCACACAAAAACACACTGATATATGTGTGTGTGTATACCCCAGCAGTCCTAGAACCCAGAAAACTCAAGGCATTTTCTGAAGGTTGGTTGGCTACAGAGGTTTTGTCTAAACTTAAACTTGGACAATAACAGTGAAGGAATTAAATTTTAGCTTAGAATCAGTTAGCTAACACCAGTCTGCGAAATATAACTTTTGGACACCACAAGTGACATGAACAAGCCGGTCATGAACCAGAATTCCGGGCCGTAAGAAAACACGGAGCTAGGACATCTTCCTCCATAGCTGACTTCGGTCGGTGCGTGCCGGCATGTGCGGCCAACTGGAAGTTGACTGGGTGGTTCTAGATCAGTGGCCACAGACAGACCCGGCTCAAGAACCAGGCTATTTGATCTGAGGAACTGTGCTTACTGAAATAATTTCTGTTGTACCAGAAGAACAAGCTGCTCTTTCATTTTACAATGAAGTTATTTTTGGGTGTGCTTTGTGAAAGCACCTAAAAAGTCTTTAATATTATTATAAGCTGTCTTAAACAAACACCGCCAGAGGATTAGAGCTTGAAGAGCCTGGAGCGGACCAAGCACGGTGAGGGTGAGGTGGAGCTCAAAGCTGTGTCCTCAGCCTGCAACTGAGCCCAGAGCCCTGCTTCTGGCTGGACCAGGAGGAGCTTCCTACCCTCGGATCCAGAGACACAGAATGGGGAGGAATATGGGCCTCATCCCTCTGGCCCTACTGCTTCTTCTCTTTGAAAAGCTCCCTTTCTCCAGTGCTTTCCTCCCACAGCGTAACCGCTCATCAGGAAAGTGTTTAAGGGTTAGTGGGTGCTGTAAGCAATTGGCTGTAACAAAAGTTGTACTCCTGATGAGCCAGGCATCCTCCCCGCCTCTAAGTCCAGAGGCCCATAGCAACTACACAAGAATTAAGGAAACCTGAATTCACCATAGCTTTCCTTTCTGCCCCCAGAACTTTATTCTTCGGCAAACGAGTACACAACTTAAGAAGTCTAGGTGCTTCGATGACTGACTTTTTAATTACAAAAATAAATCACTTCAAAGTATTTGTTGAGCTAAGTTGCTGACCTAAAGCAAGAACTGCTCTTAAAAAGGAGCTTTTGCACCTGTACTTACAGCAAGGTCTTGGAAGAATTCATCAGGTCTGTAAGTGATTACGATTCCCATAATATTGTGAAATTAAAAAGAATAAGAGGTGCATATTTACAGCTAATTGTCATTGTTGCTTAAGCAACATAGCTATTCCTTTTTCTACTACAACCAGTGGATAATAGACAACTAGAATTACAAAAACATCCTAGAAAAAAATGAATTACCTTACAATAATCATTTATTAAATTTTATTAAATAAAAGACAACAGGGGCGCCTGGGTGGCCCAGTCGGTTAAGCATCCGACTCCTGATTTCAGCTCAGGTCATGATCTCAGGGTCATGACATCGAGCCCCATGTGGAGCTCCATGCTGGGTTGTGGAGCCTGCTTAAGATTCTCTCTCCCCCCACCCTGCCCCGCTCCCCACCCCTGCTGGTGCTCTCTCAATAAATAAATAAATAAATACATGAAAAACAACATAATTATAACATGGGACTTAGACAAAACTAACACTAACTCCTAAGATCCTGAGATAGACAGAACAACAGTAAGATGACCAAACATACCTGAACTAATTCTGCTTTTAATTCTTCTCTTTCCTCCTCAGACAGCATGCTAGAGAAGTCAGCACTGGCTACTGTGTCATCATCTCGTCCTTGCAACGCTTCAGTCTCCAACAAACCTTTAGGCAAGAGGGACAAAACATAATGCAATTAAAAAAAAAATGAATTTAGCCAACTTGTGTCTCCACAGTCTGGAGATAAACTAGATACACTGACAGACCCTCCTGCTAAAAAACAATTTAAAAATTCCTGGGGCGCCTGGGGGCTCAGTCAGTTGGGCACCTGCCTTCAGCTTGGGTCATGATCTCGGGGCCCTGGGATCAAGCCCCATGTCAGTGGGGCTCCCACTGCTCAGTGGGGAGCCTGCTTCTCCCTCTCCCTCTGCCCCCCACACCCAGCTCGTGTGTGTGCTCTCTCTCTCAAATAAATGAATGGGATCTTTAAAAAATAAATAAATGAAATAAAAAACAACTAAAAATTCCAGAAAAAAAAAAATCTTTCTAAATGTGTAATGAGCTGCCAAGAAAGTAAAGAATACCAAGAAGCCAAAGAACTATGTCAAAGTGGGAAGCCAGAGGTGTAAACAAAAGAAGTTTTCATTAGTTCCACATTTGCTACCCAGACGAATTCCAGCTTCGGTGTTCACTGTCCCCTGGGGGAGCAGGGGGCAGAGGACAAAGCCTAGGGCCACCCAAGGAGGAGAGGGGATCTGCATCCCCACAGGGCTGCACCCTGAGAGGAAGATGACCTGGAAATCAGTACCATCGCTGCCCACAGGCATCTGCGAGGCAAGCAGCCTTGACACTCAGCACTGGATGGACGGCAAAATGAGCCCGCTGAGACTCCTCACCCTGAGCAGGACTGTGTGAACCAGCAACTTGAATGCACACTACGTGGGTGGCCCAAAAGAAGCTGGAGATAAGACAGCACTGTGACTTTTTTCCACTTTGGACGTGGAAATCGTGTGGATTCGAAACCTAGAGCAGCAGCAGCAGCTGTGGGGAGACATCACAGACAAACTGATGCTGGTGGAGGCAAACAGGGAAGCGCTTGGCTTCTTGAGGACATCACTGTGCCACACGATGACCCCGGAACAGCACCACTTCTAACTTGTTCTGTGAGAAAAATGCCTTTTGGTCGAAAACTGATGTTTCCTAGTAGAGCCCCCTGGCATCTGGATACCTCAAACATGTATGTTCTCTGAAGGATTGAGCAAACAGGCCCCCACATATATGGAAGCTTCACTTAGGACATGAGCTATGACGGAGCTGGCATTTATAAATCTGTGGGGAAAGGAAGATCTTTTAGTAAGCTGTCCCTGGACAAATAGTTATCCATGTAGAAAAAATAAAATTGGACACCTTCACATGATTCACAAAGATCAAATTATAAGCACTTTAGAAGACAGCAGGGTTTATGAACCTCTAGGTAGGAAGGGACTTCTTAACAAGACACAAAAAAAGGCAAATCATGAAAGAAAGGGTGAATAAAATGACAAATGTCTCTTCATCACACACACTATATGGAAATTAAAAGATAAGCCACTAATTGGAAGAAGGTCTTTCCCATCTGTATAACTAGCAAAAGATGAGTTCCCAGCATAAACAGAATTCTTACAAACCAGGCTAAAAAATGGAAATAACCCAACAGAAACATGGCCCCAAAGACCCAAAACAGGTTTGCTATAGGAAGAAATCACAAAGGGTTACCAAGAAAATATGCTCAACCTCACTGATGTTTAGGGAAATACAAATTAAATCATTTCACATCCACTGGATTAGTAACAAGTTCAGAGTCTGACATTATCAAATGTTGATGGCTACGTGGAGCACGGAAACTCTCATACTCTGCTGGCAAGAATATAAAGACAGACAAATAACTTGGGAAATAACTTAACATGATCTAGTAAGTTCACACACACCCTACCATCCAGCAATTCTACACCTATGTATATACCTGAGACACTCCTATATGAGCACCAGAGGTTATCAATAAGAACTTTCATGGTAGCAAAAACTGTGGATCATGCAAAAGTCCATAAACAGTGAAGGCACATAGTGTACCATGATGCATTTACACCAGCACGACTGACAACAGTAAAGTGAGTAAGCTACACTGTACATGGATAAAACTCAGAAACAAAACACTGAGTGAAAAACGTAAGTTGCAAAAGAATAATAAAATATAATCTCAGCCATACGAAGACCAAAAACATGCAAAACTAAATAAAATATTGTTTAGAAATAAAATTATAAAGAAAAGCAAGACTAGGATAAAAATAATTCAGGACCAGGGTTTTCTCTGAGGTGGAGTGGGTGTAGATGGGAACAGGAAACTTAACAAAGGATCTCTATAGGGCTAATGGTAATGCTCCGTTTCTGGGACACTGGATTTTCGGGTATGAGTATTTTCTACACTTTAAACTTTGTAAATATTCTTTTGTATATATATTATTGAGAAAACAATTAAAAATAGAGTTTATCTAAAGTCAAAATGAAAGATAAATAATTATCCTACAATATCAGGACATTTTAGGTAAAGAGAATAAAAATATGAACCAATCTGCAAAGTTCTTCTCATGCTGGCCCCACTCTTGAGTCCCTTGTACCCACATCCTTTTGTCTGAATTAACAGTGTACCGTCAGCCCCTTGTGTCACTGCTGATACACCAACGCACATCAATGACAGCAGCCTCTTGCTGGTCCAAGTTCATCAGATTCTTGCTCCATCTATCTACTCCAGAGGCCAGTTTCAATGCTAAATAATTTTCTTTTTCAGGGCGCCTGGGTGGCTCAGTCACTAAGCGTCTGCCTTCGTAAAGCTCAGGTCATGATCCCAGGGTCCTGGGATCGAGCCCCACATCGGGCTCCCTGCTCGGCAGGAAGCCTGCTTCTATCTTTCTCACTCCCCCTGCTTGTGTTCCTGCTCTCGCTGTCTCCCTCTGTGTCAAATAAATAAATAAAATCTTAAATAAATAAATAATCTTCTTTTTCATGAGTAATACCTGTTCATTGTAGAAGATAGAAAAATAAAATTATCCCATATTAATTAAAATGACTGTTAATCACACTACCCAGAAATAATTATCATTTTGGTCCATCCTTTCTGGTTATTTCTTCTATGCATATGTATACATTTTCTTGTATATATTTATATGCACTTACTGTTGTGAACTTGATTTACTCAACAGGATTCATGAAGATCCTTTACGTCTAAAAACCCAGCCACATTTACATATTTTTGATGGTTATGCAGTATTTTGTCTCATGTATGATTGATAACTTACCCTATTTACTGGGAAGCTACAGTGAACATCTCCTAGTAAAATCATTAGGCAAAATCTTGATGATCTCCTATACACTGGATTCCAGAGTCAAGGGCGTGAACATTTTGAAAACTACTAATTATCCCTCAGAAAGACGGTGTCAGTTCTATGCAGACATCAGCAACCTATGAGACTATCTGTAGAGTCAGTACAATAATGTTAAGCAGGTCATTGAAAGGGGGTAAACACTGTCATTTATTTCTGCTAGTAGGTATGTATGCTTACATGTGGCCCATGTACTTTCAGTCAAAGTCCTAGAACAACTGTCTACATCAAGAAGTAGCAGCAGGGGGGCGCCTCCGCGGGCGCCCTTGGTTAAGCGACAGACTCTTGGTTTCAGCTCAGGTCGTAATCTGCCCTGAACTGGTGAGTTGAGGCCTGCCCCGGGCTCCGCAATCAGCGGGAGAGTCTGCTTGAGGGTCTCTACCTCTGCCCCTCCCCCACTCGTATGCCCATGCTCTCTCAAATAAATAAATAAATCTTGCGGGGGGGTGGGGTGGGGGGTGGGGGGGTGGAGCTAGCTTCAATTCCAAGCACAGATTTAAGAGATGGACACAGAAGGTAACCTGCCCCCTGCCCTAGGGGTTAGGGTTCCAGAAGAGCCATGGTAGGAACCTCTAAGGTCCTCTGGCTCCCTAACTCAGTTGGGTCCAGGAATTGAACAAGTACTGCTTTAACTTAGTTCGTACGCAAATTCTCAATCTTCCCCTCTCTTGGCAGTGTGAGAGGACATGTACCATGGAACAGATCGTTCCGGCTACTTAGACTTTTCAAGACAACAGACATCTTTAGTATCTTCTTATATTCTAGGAGAAAACAATAATTTGAAATCCATTTTAGTTGGTAATAGGTTGAGTTGGGAAACTTCTAAGTGAATTTAGGAAAAGGCACAGCCCCATATCCAGGAGCTAACTTCTTCTTTTCAGGGGAAAGAACACTGACCTCGTGAAGTGAGACATGCAGCTGACCTTGGGCTCCCATCTGCCACTGTGCCCCTCCAAGGCCACATTCCCCAATCTTCCAAAGCCTCACTCCCAGAAAGCAGCCATTCAGGAAATCTGCCTGGAGCCTGGGTTGCTAGTTAGTTCAGGTCTAATTAGACCAGTTTCCTTCTTCATTCTTATTTTTGAAATGAAATCCCAGTTCCCCATCTTCTTTTCCCACTTATGCCTCTATTTCCCTGCCGCAGCCTCCTCCAATGGGTGTTCTCGGAATCACACAGTTCAGCACAGGGTGCCATGTAGACGCAAACAAAATGAAAACAAGGCCTGCAGTTCCCAGCATAATATGCTCAGTTCACTGGGTTAGGGAAGCAGTCATCAAATCATGAGGTCAGAGGAAAATTCCAGAATCAAGGAATAGATGAAAAGAGGAGTTGAATAAAGATGGGATTCACAGTGAAAGTGAGTCAGAATGGGGAGGAAAAATAAAAGCAAATGGTAAGAGACGCCAAGGGACAGACGAAAATGGGAGAGGACAGCACAATGAGTATAAAATGACCTAGTTACTATGGAAGCAGGTATTAGAGGAGATTAAATACATAGTTTTCATAAAAGCAATTATTAGAGGGCCAAATCACTCAAGAGACATAGTTTTTAGCGGACACCAGTACATTATGAATGTATGCAACGTCATGAATTTGATTCTCTTTCCAGGTGTGCAAACTATGCCCCCTTGACTAGCATATGCCCCCTTTGTCTTGTTGTCAGGAAATCTTGGATCCTACCTATCTGTGGGTTTGCCACTAATGACAGAGTACACTTGATCTCAATGATCTCATCTGTAAAATTGATA